GGTGATGAGGGCGGCTGCTGCCGGTTACTTGTCGCCCAACAGGTTCCGAATGCTGATTGACTCCAAGCCGAAGGTCTTCCAACTCCGCGCAGTTCACGAGGATGTGCTCCACGGTGGCTGGCACTCCGCAGGTTTCGCAGGTCCTCCGGAACGGTGTTCCTCCGAAGTTGTGGGAGACTCTGCTGTGCCCGGTGCGCAGCCTTGACACCACTCGCTGTTCTCGTAGGTTTGGTCGATCCTTCCAGGTTCCGGTGGTCACCTTGATCTTCCGAAGATGGTGTGTCCTGTTGTTCCTCCACTCGGTATCCCAGGCTCTCCAAATCGTCCGCTTTATGACATCTTGGAGCGGTACATTGCCGGTGGACCTGGGTCCGGTGTGGCCTGAGCCGGCGAGGTGGTCGGCTATTAGGTTCCCTTGGATCCCGCAGTGACCGGGTACCCACATGAATACTGTGTTGGGTGGCGCGTGCTTTACCGTTCCATGGATCCACGGATGCTTCGGTGTTTCTGTTGTTAGGGCCAATATCACGCTGTGTGAGTCAGTTACGACTAATATCGGCCGGTTGGCCGGTAGCTTAACCGCGTGGAAAATGGCCGCTGCCTCAGCTGAGAACACCGAGCATTGGGTCGGGAGTGATCTGCTCACAAGCAGACCATCTCCGGAGACCCCCATTCCCACTCCACTCCTGGAGAGAGAGCCGTCGATGTACCTAACTTCATAACCTTGGTAGTGCGCCCCGAGAGTTTGGACAACTGTCCGTTGTAAAGCCAGCGAGTTGTCTCCTGCCCTGAAGCGGTCCTTGATTCGGCTGTCAATTTTAATCTTGTGCGATTGCCAACTTTTGTCTCCGGCTAAAGTGAAAACTCGCAAGATCTGGCCAAAAAGTCACCGGATAATCATGTGACTGGATGAAGGACAGAATTCGCTTCTGGAGACATTCGGTTTTGTCTTCTGTCATATATTTGCGTGCGAATGTATCGGCAAAAACAAATTTGAATCTGCCAGGGACACCTGGCAGATCCTTCACCTTGCAAAATGTTGGTCCTGGAAGCTGTCCGAAGTGAGCCTTTACATAGATTTCATCATCCATAAGTATGCACCCACCGGACTTGGTCAGCAGGTTGTCATTCGATCGACTCAGAACTACACAACCTCTAAGACATCACCCAAGCCTATCGTATAGCAGATTGTGATGTCTCCTACCATCACCCAATAACACACGTTCAAGCCTATTAAGTTCACGATCCTTTGCAGATGTGATACCTTCCACAAGGTACCACCAATCAAAACCAATGGCCAATGTATCACCAGTGAAAACCATCAAATGTTCCCCCACTTCATATCTGTCATACCTCGTAAATGGTGCACGATCCAGATAAACTTCGCATCTGCAGTTCAACTGTACCCTGGGGCAGTGTTGGAAAAGTTCGCGATATTTCACGAAGTTCACCAAGGGAAAAGTTCGCGAGTCATAGGGAACTTTGATGAACTTTTCCATCACTGCCCTGGGGTTGTTGTTCTTCATCTGCACGCCCATGGGATCTTGCCGAACAGCAAATTACTTAGTGTCAACATGCGTCATGCACTTTCGAGATTGAGCAAGGCCTTATAATTGATTGATTGGTAGGCCACCCTTAGCATCGGATCCTTTTGCGACGAACTAGGGCAACAGAATAGCAGATTGGATCGGTAATGATGGGGTGTACTCACGGAATAGAATGTAATTTTTGATTGCATTGATCTGTTCCTATAAATCCTATACTGTTTTGCTAAGGCAATTGGGGCCTCCCTTAGCTCAGTCGGTAAAGGCGCAGCTACAAAGCAAGACCATGCTGGAGGTGGCTGGGTTCAATTCCCGGTTCGGTCTAGGAATTTTCCGGGTTGGAAAATTTCTCGACTTCCCTGGACATAAAAGTATACTTGGACTTGCCAAACAATTATACCAATGCAAAAATGGTACAGGCATCGAAAGCTCTCAATTAATAACTGTGGAAGTGCATCTATAACACTAAGTTGAGAGCACGCAATAAGCTAAATATGCGATATGCAATAAGCTTGAAATGCGAAGAAGAAGAAAGAAGTAAGGCAATCATCCAGACCTGATGAAATATTTGAGGTTAATACGTATCGACATCCCATACTGGGACCAATGACTGGCAACCCGAGCAAAGTCTGAGATCAAATTGAAATCTTAATTTGATGTTGTGATTTCGCTGATAATGATTTCTCAGGTTGCTGTCGTTTTGGTCGTTTTAACGGTTAAAATATCAAAATTGAGAGCAAAGCAATCTTCCTGTGACATCACATTGAAAACTATTTCTGCTATGAGTGAGAGCAAACTGAAAACTCAATTTGATGTCAATTTTTCCTGTTGATAACAAAACAAGTATTCAATTTGATGTTATACTAAGACAATGAAAACCAACCCGTAACAACATATTTTTAAAGAGCAAATGTACAGCAAAATGAAAAGTAAATTTGTCAATGTGTAAACTGAAATCAAATCTGCTTAAAGATTGCTACCAGACTATTATTGCATTAATTTCATTGAAAAGATTGAATATTTGGCAATGGATGGACCTAGTTATTTCTTGCATTGGCTGTCATGTGTGCTTCGGTTTGTTTACAATTTCCTTCGCACGCAGCAACATAATTTTCTGTTTACTTTCCTAGTCACAACTTTCTTAAACAGAGCATAGACGAAGTAGTTGAATTCTCATGTGATTTGAAGCATCGCATAATGAATTTAGATCCAAGACTTTCCTAGGAGTTTCTGGAAATTGACTGGATCCTGGCTATTCCGTATAGCTGCCATTGAACTGGTTCTTGAATTTTAATGTGATTCAATGGGTTTAGATCATATTCAGAAACTGGCCACTTTTCCAAGGGGTTCGAAACATGTCCAGGTGTAGCCAATGTGGAACAGGGCCCCTCAAATGACTACAATTGAACTTTGAGGTGTCACATGATAAGTTTTATTCGTTTGAGGTCGGAATTTGCCTCATGCCTTCAATAATTGAATCTCCCTAATTTTCAATTAATGTTGTACTAAGCACCTACTTATTGGAAACCAAACGTTCGATTTGAGAAAATACACAGTATTCTATTTTGCATCATTCTACGAACACGCTGTAAACTACATAATGATGATGCATGATAATTTTATGTCAGGGTTGTCCTCCAAATTGGAGAATAAAGAGGTGCTTAAACCCCGTATGATCGTTATACCCCTTCCTCCCCTACTTCGTTGACATATGAACCAACATTTTGTTCAATATTTAAAGCACTGTCTTCTGACAAGTAAAACAAACTGCCTGTTGCGTTATCATTAAATGCAATCTTCACTTTCTTCTCTTCATCAGAAATCTAAATTAAAACTAATGATGAAGCTACTGAAAAAAAATTAATGTGTTTTTTGGCAATTGTTTTATTCCACAACATGCATGGTGGTTTTATGGACTATACTGGGATGCTACTCAAAAATATATAAAGGCTTGTTAAGGATTCCACATATGAATTTACATAGTTTATTACATTTCAGGAAAAATACTTGAACCAACATTAAACCATAACCTAAACAATGAAATACTTGAAAAGATTAAGACAAAGTAAAGTAGTCAAAAATGCATGACATACATCAATTTTGCGTAGTTCTACGCCATGCTGCGGTCGTGTCTAGGACACAACCCTTTAATTTTTTTTCTACGCTCCTCTTGCATGGGGACTGTCTCCAAAACAAGAGCGTTTTATGAACTGACAAAATATACTGTTATTATTATTGCTGTTGTCAACAAATAGACGTCAAAAGCTTCCGAAAACGTTCACTGGGAGTGCTGTTGTTTCAGGCGGATGGTTCGGTATCACACCGACAGTTCGCTCACCTGAGGATGGGACTGACTATTCTTCGCACAAATTACCGTAGGAACTCTTCTTTGGAAGGGTTTTGAAATGGGAATACTGGTTTTCAATTACCTCCGAAACGGTGAATCAAACAGACAATTAATGAGATACCACATTTGTATTGAACTTGAGTCAACAGTGGTTGTTAGGATAATGGACATTTTTGTTGAAATCTTTCTCGTGGCTTACTAGTTTCCAAAAGCTGTAATAAGCAAAAAAGTTTATTCCATTACCAAGTGGGCCATGGTTTACCACAACTTTGTTTATCCAAAAATTTCGTTCAACATTTTTGACCTGACTCCACCCGACAAACAATAGTTATGAATAAGTAAAGTATTAGTGGCTATTGGAAACATTCAATTACCGATGAAATAGTGTTCATCCGACCAATGCGGTGCACAATTAGGATTTGCTTTCTTTAGAGCAGTTTGCTACAATGCTGAAGGTCATAAGTCAGCTTTCAAGTTCAGACATTACATCTTAGCATTCCCGATTGAGATTAGTTCACCTAAAGAACAGCGCACCTTGCAAGTTTCGACTCACATTCTACCGGTGCACGATTAATGACATCATTCACCCCGCGGTTTCTCGATCTCTCCGTATATCGCTTCTCATTAAGAATTCCAAAACATACAGGCATACAACACATATGGACCACCATCAACACAAACCGCCGTCATCGCCACCACCATCATCCAGCTTCGAACCACCGTGCAAAAGCTCATTGGATTTCGTTCCTTTCTCAGTTCACACAATACTGTTTTGGCCAGGGAGACCCAGCATCACCATCACCACCTTCTGCTGTTGATGTTTCGGGTATCATCTCGGGGTTGAATGGAAGCAATTAGTTTCCTCGTCGTCGTCGTCGTCGTTTTGTTTTGCGATTGGAGTGGGTCATCGTGAGCTTGAATTAATCGTCTTACTGACTTTGCCATCAAGAACAGGCACTTTTTTTCGGAGTGCATTTTGTGGATTTTCGGCAGATTCTGCGAAGAACATTTTTCAAGATGACAGTCTGTTGGCGGTTTCGTTTGATGGTATCTGGTAAGGAGGGTGGCTTATCTTAATACCATTTCTAATGTTTACTGTTCCGGTGTAGCGCGGCAATTTGCTTTCAACGAGTGTGTGTGTGTGTTCTAGATTTCCATGAATAAAACAAACGTAGTGAACAGAGAAGATTATCCGAGAAACAAGAAGTTCTTATCGCGTGTGGCCAGTGAGTGGAGCGTTAATTTGAATGCTGGGAAAATATACGTCAGGTTTCAGGTGTGTAACAAGTGGTGTTCGAACGGAGTTCATGTACATCGACATAATGATCGAGTAACGCCCGATTGAAGGTGATTGTGTGAATTCCTGAGCGGCAAAAAAAATTACGATCAGTTCAGCAACATGGGTAAAACTACGAGCAAATTAGATAAACGGCGATCGCAAAGTAAGTAACATATATATATATATATAGAACGTGTATCGATCCGGTCTCGGCTATGCGGTAATTAGAGACCGTAAATGCGTGTGAATAGCTGGAAGATTTAAGCCGCAGCGTACTGCCATGCAAGGATTAGACTGATCAGCTATAATTGTCATAACATGTCTTTTTATGTTTAGGATCAGTCTAATGAACTAGTCCCAGTGGACTAGTTTGCAGGTGCAGTTTTTCACTATCAGCTCATTTGATTTTATTACTTTTGCATACATTTCCATTAAATTTACGCTTAGGTTTTATAGAAAGGAGGTGACACATACACACGCACACACCATCCAACAGCTCAGCTTTTATCCAAGGGATTCGATATTTTTCGCACGTTCTCATTGCACAACGCGTTCCTGCGGTCGATTTGTTGACTCTGATTAGCTTAATTAAGGAACAAGTTATTCGACACTCGTAGACAAGCTTAACACGATGCAATCATAAAAAAAAACCATACCAGAGAGTGAATGAATTCTGCATGAAAATTACTTTGTAAATAATTCCCATTTGAGACTGGGGCAATGATGCCAATCGAGAAAAAGAACTGGTCCACAATCAAATTCAAATGTCATTAATTTAAATTGCCCCTTCGATTGACTGGATCGTTGGTGTTCGCAATTTCCGAACCCTTCCTGTCCGTCGTTTCCTCCCCGTAGCACCTAACCCAGAAAGTGCTGAAAGTTCATTCACTGATACGCTGACTACTCTCGAATCTCATCACCCGCGCTCCGGCAGTAAATTTCCCGCTTTAATCGATATAGACTGAAAATGAATTAATAATAATCATAAAATAAATTGCTTATTTATACACACTTGCACCGATCTTTTCCCTTGTGATTCCCAACAGCATCACAACAAACAGCGTGCACCAACAACCAACCAACCAACCAACCAACGGCTGAAACGGTCATGCATAAAATGCAATATGCAAAGCTGCTGCACCAAACAACCTGACTTTCTGGCCAGTTAGTGGATGTCAATGCTAGCCGTGCGGTGTTGTATAAATGGCGAAAATTGTGGCGGAGCGCTCTGTGGTGTGTGGCACGCGGGCTAAGCTTAAAAATTGGGCTGTACTACCTCGACTCTTATGGGAAGCTTAGGGTGTAGATAGTGTGAGTGCAAGACATTCTGCAATGTTGGAGTTATAGTCTGGTAATTTCAATGATATCGATTGTTTTGCAATGTCGGGTATTGTTTTGTTTTTTGGAGACGTATATTAATTAAAACATTTGTAGTCGGGTTACTCAGGGCCTCGCTAAGCTCAGTCACAAAAGGCAGTTCTGCAAAGTAAAATAAAATAAAGTCTGTTCCATTTAGAATTTGGTCGCACAAAATGTGTAATTTCTTAAAGAGGAAATAACACGCATAAGCGCTAAGGTTATCATTTTGTAGCTTTTTGACGTAGGACTACGTCTTTGATTTCTATATGGGGATACACTTTGTGAAAACCGAAAATGGAACATGTAACACATTTTGAAAGATTTTGAACGTTAATAACTCAGCTGCCCCTGGTCCAATTTCAATAATTTTATCACCAATCGATCAGAAATATGGCTACGCATCGATAACAACGCTTCTGAATGTTGATTTTCAACATGAAACTATTGAAAAACTGGTAAATGTCCAGCATTGTCCAAAAGCGTAAAATTAACTAACAAATCCACCAATTATCTACATGCATATACTGCTTCCCCAGCACAGTCGTCAGAGAGTAGTAAGTAGACGAAAAAAGTCAAAGTGGCATTTGCCTCCGATCCTCGGGCGCATGCGAATAGGGAGGATGGAATTGCGTAATATTTTGCACACTCATCGCCATACTAAGAACCACACGCTCCCAACGACCACACCACTCCCAAGTAACATTGCAGGTTTTATCGAGGTTTTATAGCATTCTACAAGTCCAAATCATGATCTGCAGAACCATCATAAAACCAAAATTGTTACTTGGGTTGTGTGGTGGGGTTCGGTCGTCGAAATTAGTAGCAGCAGTAGCAGTGCTTTCGGCGTGTGGCGTTGAAAATTGTTCTCCAGTAACAAAGAAAGGCTGCCTGCAAGCAGCGAGCTGCAGAGCCCACATAAGCAACCATCAAAAGAGGAAGAAGCTGCAGCGCTATGCTATGGAACGGAATCAGCAGCTCTTCGTGAGTCGCTGCGGGTTGGTCATCTATGCCAAGCGTGTCACCCTCGCTCCAAACGACATACAGCTCGACAGCCTCATCTGTGTTGAACACCCAGCTCAGAATTACTCAACCATCACTACAAAACGGTCCTTTTCAAGGCCACCAAAAATTTGTTAAAGAGTATTATTTGGACATTGGTCAAGGCCATCAGTTCCCACAAGCAGCTAGCTATCAAGGCTCATTCTGTCTATAGAAGGTGTGGAATTGTAGGCCTGAATATATTGGGGCAATTAGTTTTTCCTCGGCTTTCATTCCGCACGATTCGTTTCTTTCATTTAATCATTCACCTTTGAAGTGACGTCGAAAAGATTTTTTCAATCGGCGTTTACATATGAAATTTATTGTGGATTATAGATTTTTTGTTTGTTACCAAAATTTATGAATGGTTTGCCACTAAATGTTGAGATAATTTATTGATTATTGAATTATCACACTGTATACCATGAAAAAGCAGCCTGTTTGTGAGTGTTTGCCTGTTTTCAAGTAAGGAGTTATCATAAAAAAACGAATCGCCAGCTGGTATTTCCTGGCGATCATCCAGAACTAGCTAGGATTTGTTTTACTTCATATTTCTCAAAATTGCTTTCGAGTGTTAAGACATCGTCTCCCGCAAAGTTTATATTTTTCCCTCTACCAACACATACATCAGGGCTAGATAGATCTCCACAGGATCTATAGAATCCACGCAATTTCAAAAAACCAAAATGCACAGCATTACGAAAAGAGGTCAGGTTTCGACCAATAGCAGATAGATCTTAATTTTAAACAAGCCAAACGATTGGAAATTTATCTACCAATCTGCTAAAATGAACACTTAGTTAATTTTCAATACGTCACTATGGAAAAATACCAATGCAATGGTGCTCAAAATTATTACCGAATGTCTGAAAACAGCGCATTCCCTAACACAGACATAAAAATCGAATTCGATGCGGTCCCACTGAACGATGCTCATTCAATCACCGTAAGTGGTGGTGTCCAATCCAGCAGTAGCAGCAGCAGGAGTGCTTTCAACAACAACAACAACAACAACAACGAAAGGCTGCCTGCAAGCAGCGAGCTGCAGAGCTCATATGAGCAACCATAGAGAAGGAGGAAGAAGTCCCACCGCTAGGCTAGGATCGGAATCAGTAGCTCGTCGTGCTCAGCTCAGCATTACTCAACCATCACTACAAAACGGTCCTTTTCAGGACCACCACAAATTTGTTAAGAGTATTATTTGGACATTTGTCAAGGTCATCAGTTCCCACAAGCAGTTAGCTATCAAGGCTCAACCTGGTCTCTATAGAAGGTGTGGAATTGTAGGCCCGAATGAATTGGTGAGATTAATCATCGTCCGACCATTTTCTAGAAGACGCTGGTAGGAAGTGTTAAAAATCCATATAGAATTTGAGAGAAGTGGGAATAATTCGCTTTGGGTGTATATTCAGTCCCCAGAAAGCCAATAAAATCAAATTTGTGAGAAAATTAGCTCTCACGAGTTCAATCTCTCGAAGTCCCTCCTTTTTTTCATATTCTGCACAAACGATACTTTCCGCCCCGCTCCATTCATATAATTCGGAAGGAAATCCTGTGAGGGGTGAATTGAATACACTTTAATACCAAAATGCACAAAACTTAATAATTCATAAATAACAAAAAAAAATCAAAATAAACCTTTTAAAGTCGGGTAGATGAATCGAAAATACTCAAGTTGACAGTCCCTTGGATTCTCTTCATCAACTTTCTCTTTGAAATAAATACTACAAATTTGATATGCTTACAAATAAAAAACGGAAAGAGTTAAGATAATTGGTGATTGATCAATTAAAAGAACTAAATGTTCACATTTGTTCCGTCCACTAGCGGTCCTACGTCAAGCTTCCGTTCGTGCCCCTAGGCACAGACCCTTCTTCTTTTTCAATAGTTTCTTGTTGAAAATCAACATTCGGAAGCATTGTTATCGATGCGTAGCCATATTTCTGATCGATTGGTGATAACATTATTGAAATTGGACTAGGGGCAGTTGAGTTATTAACGTTCAAAATCTTTCATTATTTGTTACATGTTCCATTTTCGGTTTTCACAAAGTGTATCCCCATATAGAAATCAAAGACGTAGTCCTACGTCAAAAAAAGGGAATGTTCACTTACAATAGACCATTTCCGGACAAACTTACAGAGGAAGACGGATATTAAAAGAAGTTTCTTTGGAGACGAAAACAATTTCTGGAGAAGTTCTATGTAAATCTGGGTGAATCTACCTAACATATACAGATTTAGGTTGATGTTCTGTTAGTAAAGCCACGTCGTCTGAATTTTCAACAGTTTATAATTTCCCAAAACATGGTAGTTGTCATAGAAGTTTGACTAAAGGTAGTTACATTCGTGGTAATACCATAGAGGTAACTCTAAGACCAGAAGGTCCCAAAATAACGTGCTCAACTTTTTGGCTCAGCTCTGGTACTCTCTTCGGTCCCAAGCTAATCGATTCACCCCTCGAAACAGAGGAAAAACCAATAACCCCTCATTTTATCTATCAGACTTTCATAGCGAATCAAAACAAACATTGCGTAGTACTAGAATTACGACTAGAATGGGGTACGTTAATCGTTTGCTTGGGACCAATAGGCTAGTCAAGTAGTGAGCCAATTTAAAATCGTTAGTTTCGTATTGATTGTTGGTAATACCATAGAGGTAACTCTAAGACCAGAAGGTCCCGAAGAAACGAGCTCAACTTTTTGGCTCAGCTCTGGTACTATCTTCGGTCCCAAGCTAATCGATGTACCCCTCGAAACATATGAAAATCCACGAACCCCTCATTTTATCTGTCAAACTTTCATGGCAAATCAAAACAAACATTGTGTAGTACTAGAATTCCGACTAGAATGGGATACGTTAATCGATTAGCTTGGGATCAATAGGCTAGTCAAGTAGCGAGCCAATTTAAAATCGTTAGTTTCGTATTGATTGTTGGTAATACTGAGACATTATGGATTTCTATCAAGGGTATAATATAATATGTGAGTATAACCAATTCCATACTATTTGAATAATAAATTGGTGACTGTGGCCACTTTTCGGAAGGCCTTCAGTACCACCTAATAAATTGTATAACTTGTTAGTCAGTTTTTGATGCATCCTCATTTCAGGGCTTACTTTGACCTAAGTTCGGTGCATGAGGACTTTATTTATCAAAGATTGTTCAGATCGGCTAGTAAAAGTTTCTCAATTTAGTACTTTTATAAAATTAAAGTTTTCAAAAACCACATGATCAAATAATTTCTATAGAACAAAACTGAACATTTAAAATATTACGATCAAATTCACCGCACTGTTCAATTTCCACTCCTTTTAAGGTAACACAAACTGCCTCAATTCTACACGCAGAAAAAAATATTTTAAACGTAATAATATTTGACGTAAAATTAATAAGAAATTCACTTTGTTTAGGGTGCAAAAAGAAATCATTATTATTTCAACAATCCAGTATCTTTGTTTCTAAAAACCCATGGATTGAAAATCTTTTCGAATTTACAAGACCTTTCATGGTTTTGACGTAAGCTGTCAAATTAGGCAGCTGGTCAACAAAAAAATATGTTTGTTTTTAAAAGAGATTTCTTGTTGATTCAATCATATTTATTCTATTAAACCTGAAAATATACGCTGTAGAAATAAAAACATGTTCATTGATTCAATAATGTTTTGTTTTCTTTTAGTAATAACCAGAAATCTCTCCGGTTCATGAGCTGATGGACCGATAGGTAGGGTCCAGGGGTGGGAGCTGCCTTCCTGACGTGGGGAGCATTGGTACAGAGATTGGTACTCAGTACGGAAAACAAGATCGACGGAAAAAAAATCAAGGATAAAAATAAAGAAAAACTGTTTATATTTAGCAACTGCAGCATATTTACTTAGGGTAAATGATGGCTTCGGCAGCCATCGACTGTTTTCGGCAATCGCAATTTAAACGTTAATTTTGATGTATTTTCTCACTAAAACACTTCGCTGAATGTATTTAAACGATTCCTTAGTCTTTCAGCTTCAGCTTATACATTTTTACGACTGAGCAAACCTGTTATGCCAGGTGTTTCTTTAAAAGAAACATAAGCACATCAAAATACGGCTGATTTCGAGTTGCTGATAATAGAACAGCTGGTTAACACGCAGTTTAAATGGAAAGGTTGCCGAAGTAAAAGAGGCTGCCGACAATAGTCACTCTCAACTGAGAAGTTTGGAGCGCCTTAAAAACGTTTTCAAACCGTTTTGGACATAATGAGAGAGAGAAGGATTAGTATTTTCGATTTAATTCCACTACTTTATTTGCTTATCCTTGACAGATACGCATATTTCGTCTACAATGTGCAGACTTCTTCAGTGTCTTGTACTAATACTCGACTATTAGTACAAGACACTGAAGAAGTCTGCACATTGTAGACAAAATACGCGTATCTGTCAAGGATAAGCAAATAAAGTAGTGGAATTAAATGGAAAATACTAATCCTTCTCTCTCTCATTATACAGGTATTCCACTAAGACGCCCACATTCATTAGGATTCGTTTTGGACAGTTTTGTTGATTGGAATAAATAGAATAGCTAGCAGCAGATGAATGCAAACAAACAGACACATCATATGTGTGCGTGACACTGAGAAAATGCTAATAGAAGTGCGGAAGCTGCTTAGATTGACGAGAATACGTAAATTCCCCTACCTCAAGTCTCAAGAATTTCGGAAATCTTGCACTTATTTCCCGAAATTCACTGTTAAAAACAACATTTACGTCCAACGCGGAAAAGAGCTAAATCAAACGAGAACAGTTTTGTGTTATTGATTTATTTTTTGTCCGGGAACGAGGGAATGGTTGGTAGTTATTTTTGCATTCATGGCCAAGAGAACGGACACAACAAATAAATGCTAAATTAAAATTAACTATTGTTGGCTTAATAAAAAAAATATTGTTATTTTAACAATAGTTGCAGTTGAAGAGTGGCTTATTAAAACAAAAAGAATCTTATTTTTAATTTATTTGAATAAGTATTATCGAAACAATAAAATGCAATGTTATTTCAACCGGAATTGTTTGTTTAAATACAAATAAAGTTTTTTTTTTGGTTCAATGCAAACAATTTTCTGTCCGTGTTTAAGTCTCTCTCAAGCTCTTATGCAGTTCTATTCACTCTGAATTATTTTTTATTGGCAGTGTTTATTACCAATTTCCGTTAATCCGTCTGTATTTTTGCCGCTATCCATTCACAAAAGGTCCGGTGATGCATTTAGCCTGGCACGGTATGATTCAACCTACCATGTGATTATAAACTCAGAAAAATTGCTGCACTACGACGGTGACAAACTGCCCTAAATGCGACTTTCTGACCGGACTTGGCTCGTTTTACTCTGCTACTGAACCGGAGGCAGTCCAGCAGGGTTTCATTTACCTCACTTAATCGATGCAGCTATAATCATTATCGCCCAGAATTGTCATGCTTATCGATATTTATGATAGTGGGACTATCATTTGCAGTGCTGCCGTAACGTCGTCCCCCGTTTATGATGGGGGGTGGCACGCTGCTTCAGTTGCTCAGTTTATATGAGATGTTAATGATTCATTCACTTAGTAGCAGAAGTGGTTATCCGTCTGAACGTTTGTTGATATCACTTCTCGGAAAGATCATCGCGCTTTACGTTAACGATAGGAGTATTAAATCTTCGAAAATTACAAAAAAAAAACAGAGAACAACAATCATAACCTTATCTCCTAACTTTGTTTTGATAGCAGCACGCACCGTAAAAACAAAAACCTTTCGCTCAACCTGTGAGAGAAAATCAAAGCAACGAAAGCGGCTTTGAGGGAAATGTGCACCAGCAGTTCGCACATGGTTGGCGTTCGCGGTGGATTGTCATTCCTTCTCGCGGCTGATCGTGTCTTTTTGCGCCTTGCGTTTGACCACACACACACACACACTAGAGGGGCTCGCTGCACTAGCTGTTCGCCACAAAGACCACGGGTAGCAGCTGATTTTTTTTCCCATCGTGCCGCTGTTTTCATACTTTTTTTGCCCGCGGTCGGTGGGTCAAGCTGGTATGGCCCCCAAGAATCGCTGATGCTTGCAGTTGCACTCGGGCCGGGCTAAATTGCAGATCGTGTGTGACTCAGAGTGTAGTTCTTTGCGACGGGATTAAGGTGGATCAGTGGAAGACTTTGCCTTATGAACGGTTGAATGGACTGAAGACAGTGTGCGAAAAATATCGAATCCGGAATGTCCCGTTCGTCAATGTTTCGATCTCAGTGTTTGTTCTCTCCTTTCGAAGGTATATCCTGGAGTCATAAGTTTGGATCGCTGAATCGAAGGAGGAAACATGCACCCATGGTCATCACTTCCTGTCCTCATATGGAGGTTTTGGAATGGCTGAAGAGAATGGACCTGGAAGAGTATCATGGTGAGTACGAACAATTTAGTGATTATATATACTGGAGTTGGATGGTAAAATTACTTAGTGAACTACCGTGCAGGTCAGAGATCCGTACGCCTCAGAAATCCGTCCACCTGAGGTATGAGGTGAGTAGATCTGTACTACCACTGTACTTGGTCTACATAGGCAACGAGATGCCTGGTATTTATTCATAATTTGAGTGAGATATTTGACATCTAGCTCCTCTCTATTTGATATAAGATTTGAGTTTATACTTATCAGCTCGGAGTAAGATCGACAATGACAGTGACATTTTGAGGGATATATTACATATTACTCAAATGACTTACATTACTAATAACTCTCATAACTTGCAATCATGATAACATAATCTAATCTAATCTAATCTAAACCCAGCTCATCAGTTCATGAAAGCATCCTGGAAAATGATAGATATACCTTCATCCTTTTTCTTGTATATTTGGTATATTTTGAACATCAGAGATGTGCAAAATATATCAAAATGGCCAGGTCTACTGTGCAGTATTTAAGAAGCTGCTTGTAGTCGGCTTTGACGTAGGTTTCGTCGTCCATTACCACGCAGTCAAACTTCGTCAGCATCGTCGTGTACAGCCTCCGGGATCGCGCTTTGGCCGTCGTATTTTGTTTATCATCGCGATTTGGAGTCACTACCTTCTTGTAAGTCGATAGTCCGGCTCGTTTTTTGGCTCGATGCACGGTTGTAGACGATACACCCAGCTTATTTGCGGCATCTCGGAGAGAGAGGTTAGGGTTTCGCTTGAAACTACCGGCAACTCTCTTTGTCGTCTCAGCGGCTTCCGGTTTTCGATTTCCCCCCGATCCAGACTTCCTGGCTGTCGACAAACGTTCCCCAAACACTTTAATTACATTTCTAACGGTTGATTTGGCAACTTTTAGCGATTTTGCCAACTTTGCGTGCGAGTAGCTCGGATTTTCGCGATGCGCGAGCAAAATTTTGATACGCTGCTCTTCTTGCTTGGACGGCATTTTGACAACTGAAGAGTGAATTCCAAAATCAAAATAGGAGCAACATTCTACACACACACACCTTCAAAATGAGGGGTGTTCAGGTTTTTTAAATGCAAAATTGAAAGAAATACGTCAAGTTGATATTAACCAAATTTTGACCGTATCACCCTTTATATGTCTTCGAGCAGTTTCAGGAGGCGAGGTCGGACGGTATAGTTTATGTTTGGTTGACTTTCCGACTAAAACTTAAGCACCGCATGTCGTGACCGGACCAAGATTTCCAGCCTCGGCCACGGCAACACGAATTAGCGATGTAGCTTTCATGGCTGCGGCTGCTTCCCATGCTGCTGATGTTCTTGCGGCTGCTGCTGTTCTTGCTGCTGCTGCTGTTGCTTTTGTTGTTGCTGTCCGGCTCCTCCAAAATTCGTCAAAAGAATATTGTATGAGACGGACCAGCAGCAGCAACTAAAGCAGCAGCCGCAAGAACAGCAGCACAATGGTCAGTGGGGATGTTGAGTGAAGAAGCTTTAGAGACACGCAACAAATCCATAAGGAAATTCCGTGAGCTCTATTCTCGCAAATTCAGCCAAAGTGCCAACATCGAGGATGTATTTAATCGATTGTTACTTACATCTCAGTGTTCACTCGGCTGTCGACAAAAGCAGGCCACTCTCGATGTGTGCTACGCGATCGTCTGTTTCCTCGGCAGCAACCATTGTGTGGTCCTTCTCATTGTTCTTCATCAGCAGTTCTTTCGCTCGATGCGTCGTCGACTTTGGAAAGCAACCGTTTCGTGATGAGTGTGTGAGTGCTGACCACATTTTGCGTCCATTGCTGCAATGGACGCGCTCTGACCCTCGTTGGCGTACAACAATTTGCCATACAATGAAACTACTGGAAGCGGCTCCAGTTCTGATGGAGGAGGCTTTTTGGATAGCGGAAGATAAAGTGTTTATTGTGTTGTACCTTTTGACTTTAGTTTTAAGATGTATTGTATAGTGACCAAGAATCCTCGGCTCTGTAAAGTTAATTCGGTTGAGCCTTATCAAATAAATTATTAATCAAAAAAACTTACATCTGATCCGGTTATACTGCTGATGAACAGAAACAGGAATAGGTCGGTGGGATTTTTCTGAGGCATAAAAATCTCTGGTCACGTCTTCCTTTAGGAAGAGAAGTAAAGCCGTTGGTCCCGACCCATGTGTGTTGAATGAATGGGTGCGATATCCTACGCAGGTGTGGAAGCTGCCTTCCTGCACATGCGATTGCCGTCAATGGATAGTAATAGATGTCCGTCGGTGATTGGCACTAGATTGCGGAACAGAGACCGACGTTAAATAAAGGAAAGAAAGAAAGAAACAGGAATAACCAAACTGACGAATGTCTACCCGAAGAAGCTCTTAAACTTTTAATTGTCAACTATTGATAGTTGTCAAACTAACTGGGTATTTTAACAATAAATATCATTAAATTTATCATTGCACTTTGTTTTTAATATTTATAAAGCACTAACTCCACGGAAAATATACCATTGTAACATTTAATAAGGTTTGTAACACAGTCCCAGTAGGCCATGTTTGATGTTTTATAATATAAGCTAGGGTCAACCGTAGAATAAAGGTTATTTTTATATATCTTTTCATACATTAATTTTTCGCACAAAAAATTTTCGTGGACATTTTTAGAACTTTTTATGGCGCACATTTTTACCCAAGCAATTAAGATACGATCTCCTTCATTTGAAGAGCTATGGCAGTTTTTTTGCATTAAATTATGAATTTAAAAAAATTAAATTAAATGCTTCAAACGAAAATCGCTCTCGCAGTTTTCCAACAACAAATGAACAAAACAATGATCTTTCGAATAAAATTAAAAGTTTGAAAATCGGTTTGCCTTTTTTAGAGATATTGGAAATAGAAAACTGCTCTTTTTTTGAAGAAAATCGCCTTTAACTTTCCAATAAAAAAAGATAGCAACTTGATTGCTTCTGCAAACATATTTATCATTAAAAGTTATAAAAGTGCCTACAGCATTGTGTTTACGAAAAATGAACGTATGAAAAGATATTCATAGAAAACCAATTTTTCAGGGGCCACCCTAACCTGCTTGTTAAAAAAAAAAACATAACTCATGAACCATAAGAGATGGAAATTTGGTGCCTTTAGCAAAGTTGCAGCAAATCGATTGTTCTGCAAGTTTTTAGAACATTGCATTGGCTTATCTCAAAAAATAAAAAAAAGTTCGCATTTTCAATTCACCAATTTTATGGACCACTTCACTAAGATGAAAAAATAGACCAAAACATATGAAGAAACTTTTTGCAAGACACCATATGCCTAAAATCAACGGTTTTAGCGCAAACATTTTTGTCTTCCTAAATACGGCTTTGGGACCACTGTGCACTGTGCGGAGTAACCAACCCCTTGGGTTTTGGTGGATGCAATAAATGCAAAGCTATCCGGACCAGGGTTTTATGAATGATGTTTTATAGAAGCCTTGTAGTACTTCATAAAAGGTTAAATGTTACTTGGGTGTATAGTATTGTTTATCTAAGTGTGTTTACATTTGTAGTATGTATACCTGTACAATTGGACAATCGTTAACATGTGTATGGGTAAGGGCCATTAGGGTGCTTCATTATGAAAAAAGTGTTAAGTTTCTTGTAAGCCACTCTCCATTTAGATTCATAACTCCAAAATATGAGCCTGTAAATAAACTGTAAAGATTTACGACCTCTGAATGATTTGAAATTAGAATAGGAATTACCATGGAAGAATTTTAAAAATTACTTATATGGCCCTACACTCAAAAAATTCCACACGCCATCATCATGTGTCTCACACTTAATTTTGCGCTTATTGTGAATCTTATGCTATGAACCATGCCTGAACACTATGGATTTGAATTGTGACACACTTGGAGTCTATGTGCCTCATATGGTGATATCAATAGCTTTGCACATCATAGTTCAATATTCTACAATATTCTACTTTATCGTCTTCTACTTTACCGACTCTAAAAATGAATCGAAAAATATATATAAACAAAACTTCCAGAGGCCAGAGCTTTCACATATCTTTTTAATGGGTCTGATTTGGAATTCGATCATGGACTGTTGGGGTGTGCTGCTGCCGGAGTCTTCGTTCGATCTCACTGTGCCACGGTTCTTCTCATATATGATGCGGGTTTATAGGATAAAGTTACAACTCTTTTTTTCGATGTTTACCATTCTGAGCAAACAATTCACATCGTATTGAAATGCAAAACACTTTAAATCCATCTGGTTTGAAGAGTAGTGTGATTCAATGTGCAATACACTTGAATAGATAGTGAAAGATTTTCAACATTTCAAAGTTTGAAACACAAGAAATTAACGTGTACAACACATTAAACCAAGGTGAAATACACTTAAAGTAAATGTTATTGCGCATCTAAAAAATCAAGTGTTTAAACACTTCGATCATACGTGTGGAATTTTTTGAGTGTGCATCAAAACAATAAAAGGCTTGTTAATCATTGTCATGACTACCACATATCAAATTCATCGTAAAGATAGCTGCAACCAAAGTTATACACTCAAAAAATTGCACACGTTTGATCGAAGTGTTTAAACACTTGATTTTTTAAATGCACAATCACATTTACTTTAAGTGTATTTCACCTTGGTTCAATGTGTTATACACGTTAATTTCTGGTGTTTCAAACTTTGAAATGTTGAAAATCATTCACTATATATTCAAGTGTATAGCACATTGAATAACACTACTGTTCAAAACAGATGGATTTAAAGTGTTTTGCACTTCAATACGATGTGAATTGCTTGGTCAGAAAGGTAAACATCGAAAGCAAGAGTTGTGACTTTATCCTATCAACCCGCCTCATGAAAGATGACAACCGTGGCACAGTGAGATCGAACGAAGACTCCGGCAGCAGCTCACCCCAACAGTCCATGATCGAATCCCAAATCAGATCCATTAAAAAGATATGTGACAGATCTGGCCTCTGGTAGTTTTGTTTATATATTTGTCGATTCATTTTTAGAGTCGGTAAAGTAGAAGTCGATAAAGTAGAATATTGTAGAATATTGAACTATGGTGTGCAAAGCTATTGATATCACCATATGAGGCACATAGAATCTAAGTGTGTCACAATTCAAATCCATAGTGTTCGGGCATGGTTCATAGCACAAAATTCACACAGGAAATGGATGTGTTTCACAATATGCGCAAAATTAAGTGTGAGACACATGATGATGACGTGTGGAATTTTTTGAGTGTAGTATTGCACACTGGGGACAAAATCGAAACAATGTGTTAAAATTCAATAACTTCGGTGCTCGCTAGAACAAGAGACTAAAAAATAGTCATTCTGATAGAAAAAAGTATCAGAAATCGATTGGAGTGGGTTTCATCTTGGGCACGATAGGGTAAGTTGGGGTTTTTCACAGTTTTGCCCTAAAATCTCCTATTTTGCATGATTTGAATGCTGTATCTCAAGATATCGATGATATAGACGGATAATTACTTGGGCATAGTTGATCAAGAGGTCAAGGACTGTTGGGTGATGGACAGAACAATTCGGAATTCCCCCGCTAGGCGGCGCTAGTGAGCATTCGAAGTGAATATGTTTCCGCTGCTGTATCTCAAGATCCTGACTATTTAGACGGATGATTTCTTCGGCAAAGTTGATCAGGAGGTCAAGGACTGCTGGATGATGGACAGAACAATTTGGAATTCCTCCGCTAGGTGGCGCTAGTGTGCATTCGAAGTGAATATGTTTGCGCTGCTGTATCTCAAGATCCTGACTATTTAGACGGATAATTTCTTCGACAAAGTTGATCAGGAGGTCAAGGACTGTTGGATGATGAACAGAACAATTCGAAATTCCTCCACTAGGAGGCGCTAGTGGTTATTTAAAGTGAATATATTTGTGCTGCTGTATATCATGATCCTAACTATTTAGACGGATGATTTCTTCGGCAATGTTCAGTGGAACACACTTAACACCACGTAAGAACTGCACTACACTGAGCTACTGTCACGCAAGAAACAAGAGTAAACAAATAATTCTTTTGGATTGCGTTTCGATGACGACATTTCACATTTTCGCGTCAAAGTGGTCTTCGTGGTCGAGTGGTTAGCGGCGTCACCCGTCTAACAGCTATTTTGCGTATGCCATGGAGTGAGGGTTTGATTCCCGCTCCAGCCGGTGGAAATTTTTTTTGAAGATATAATATATGCAACAATGACCCGATTTTATCAGCCCCCTTTTTGAAAATCTTTTTTAATATTCTACGAAACCCATGCGCTATTTCAATGCTTTTATTGCACCAAAGTTTACCCTAAACATCGATCAAGAAGATTAATGGAAAAGATTTCGAATTATGGATATAGGAAATTACTGAACATTAAAAGAATAATGCGTGAAGGAACTAATAAAAGCAGGCCATTACTGTAGTTTATATTTTAATGGATATTAAGAGACCAAACTTGCTTATATGTATTGGAAAAATCCCAATTTATTCACCTATAGTCTGACCCTATTTACACTCAATATGACTACCAATGATCTTATTTAAAAATTCTCACGTCATTTGATGTGGCACATGATTGATTTAAAAAAACAGTCAAATCTGGCCACTTCCCCGGTGCAACCCGGAACATATCCGGATTCAACAAATCTGGTTCAGGGTACTAGATATCAGTGTTATTGAACTTGTTTTAGAATTCTGATGTAATTTATTGTGTCGCATGATGGGTTTTGAACTTACTCATAAGCTGGTTATTTTTCCTGAGACACTAAGAACTTGTTCCGGCCGTATCTCCGGAATTGTATGACCAATTTTGAAACTATACCGTAGCGATGTAATCATAATCCCGAGCAAAGTAAAATATCAAATTGATAACAAGTTCTATGACCCGGTCATCACTTTTTGATAATGTCCTGCAAAATACCTCAGCGGCGAAACCTGCCTAAACATGTTCAAGGAGTTACTGCGCATCGTTCTTGATCTATTTGGATGTATATAAGAAGCTCAAGTGACGTTCTAGGTCATCCAAAGCATTCTGTAGTTTAGAACATTTGACAACCAAGGCCTGCACAATGTCCTCAGCGTCGAAACTTGCTCAAACATGTTCAAAGAGGTTCTGTACATCGCTCATGATCAGTTTGATGTATATATGATGCTCAAGGTTCACCAAATTGTCCTTGATCTCAGATCAAATAATGTACCAGGTCAGTCCTAACCGGTACAAGGCCCTTACTGCCGTCAGATGATAAAGTGACGTAAACGCCACCATGGTCAATTTTCACTTTTCTTCATATTCATAATCTTTACCCTAAGATACACCAGAAAACACTCTCTTCGTGATAAAAATGTGTTTTGGAAGCCTGGAGACAAAGTGACGTAACCATACATTTTCAGAGAAAGAGTAATATGTTTTCACTGTTTCTACGGATAAGTGACGTCCAACATATAAGAATGTTGAAAATTCAAAAGAAGTTTTAAACAGTGAGGTTCATATTTTCCGCTTAATTTTGACATTTTTTAACAGAATGAATATTTTTCTGGCAAATTTTTGCACCCAGGTCCATGACTATAATGCACATCATTTTCGTTGTAATTGATGGTGTATGAGATGTTCTAGGTTCTCCAAGTTGCTTTGGAGTTCAGATTATTTGATTTACTGGCTCAACCATGAACTGCACGATGTCCTCAGCGACACAACCTACAAAAACATGTTCATAAAGTTTCTGCTGATCGTTTTTGATTAATTTTGATTTATAATCAAGGTTCTCCAAATTGTCTTGAGCTCAGATCAAATGATTTACCTGATCAACCATAACTGATAAAAGGTCCTTAGCAACTAAACATCTCCAAACAACATCAATTTAAGGTGTATTAGAAGTTCTAGGTTCTTCAAATTGTTCTAGAGGTCAGATTATTTGATCAACTGGATCAACTAAAATCTGCACGATGTTCTGCTGTTCATTTATATTTGATTTTGAGGTGTATAAGATACTCACGGTTCTCCAAATTGTCCTTGAGTTCAAATCAAATTCTCATCCAGGTCCACTGATTCAAAGCCCTTTGTATTAAAACATCTGTAAACAGGGTTAAACATATCATGCACATTATTTACGTTTGAATTCGATATGTTTAAGACGTTCTAGGTTCACCAAATTGTCCTCAAAACTTGTTAATTAGGCTGCCATCTCGCATTTTAGTTTGATTACATTCATAGATCAAAGGGCCTCCATAAGCTCGGTCGGTAGATCCTGCGACTATAAAGCAAACCATGCTGGAGGTGGCTGGGTTCGAATCCCGGTTGGTCTAGGATTTCAGATTGGAAAATTTCTTGACTTCCCTGGGCATAGTATATTATTGTACTTGCCACACAATATACACATGTAAAAATCGAACAGGCTTGGAAAGCTTTCAATTGAATCCTGATGAATGTGGGCGTCTTAGTGGAATACCTGTATAATGAGAGAGAGAAGGATTAGTATTTTCCATTTAATTCCACTACTTTATTTGCTTATCCTTGACAGATACGCGTATTTCGTCTACAATGTGCAGACTTCTTCAGTGTCTTGTACTAATACTCGACTATTAGTACAAGACACTGAAGAAGTCTGCACAAGACACTGAAGAAGTCTGCACAAGACACTGAAGAAGTCTGCACATTGTAGACGAAATACGCGTATCTGTTAAGGATAAGCAAATAAAGTAGTGGAATTAAATGGAAAATACTAATCCTTCTCTCTCTCTCATTATAAGCTTTCAATTAACAACTGTGGAAGTGCATCTAGAGCACTAAGTTGAGAGCAGGCGTTAAGTTACAGTTGAGACGCAATAGCCAGAGAAGATCATAGATAGCATTAACTAGCGGAGGATTCAGCAATCCTTGACCCCCTGATCAACTTTGCCGAAGAAATCATCCGTCTAAATAGTCAGGATCTTGAGATACAGCAGCACAAACATATACACTTCGAATGCTCACTAGCGCCGTCTAGCGGAAGAATTCCGAATTTTTCTGTCCATCATCCAACAATCCTTGACCCCCTGATCAACTTTGCCGAAGTAATTATCCATCTATATCATCGGTATCTTGAGATACAGCATTCAAATCATGCAAAATAGGAGATTTTAGGGCAAAACTGTGAAAAACCCCAACTTACCCTACCGTGCCCAAGATGAAACCCACTCCAATCGATTTCTGAGACTTTTTTCTATCAGAATGACTATTTTTTAGTCTCTTGTTCCAGCGAGCACCGAAGTTATTGAATTTTAACACATTGTTTCGTTTTTGTCCACAGTGTGTATTGTAAGTGAAACTTCATATATTCTCATATTAATTCACTGATCTCCATACAAACTTCTATCCATTGGTGCGAGCTTTAAACCTTCATTAATATATACCATTGTTTGCATAAATTCATACTGTGGGGTATTGAATCAAATTAGAGGGTTACCTATAATAAATGTGTCTTTTTTTAAATTGAAGCACCCTACTGAACATTTCTATTTAGAGTTGGTTGGAAATACTAACATGAAGCTTTAGTGTGATGATTTATTAGCTACGATGTACGCGGGTTAGGCAAAAGATGTGCGTCTATCTTCAAAAAACTGTCGCATTAATGGCCCTTCGCTCATTTTCAACTTCTATTCAATTTTCATACTGCCGTGCTCTAACGGAACTATCCACCTACTCTCTTCTGAAGATCATTCTCTAGCTAATAAATCATCACAGTAAAGCATTTTAGCATTTCCAACCAACTCTGAAAATCGCTAACTTCGCGTATGAAGTAACATAAAAACACTTTGAATGTCTATTTAGTTTAAGCACACTTAAAAGTTGAATTTTATTTACATTAATGCTTTCGAACATTTCAGTAAAATTCAAGCACTTCAACGGAGTGGAAGACTTCCTGTACTACAGCGAGGCGGAAATCAAGAAGCTCGGAATACGGAACAATGCTCACCGGGCGCGGATGGTCAGCAGTTTGGTGGCACTGCGGGAGAAACCATCAACAGGTAGGTCCGAGAAAGCAAATCACCCCAAACCAAACCAAGCCTTACAATATCAGCTTCAGATTGAAGCAGGTCTAAATCGATAAACCTTCATGATTGCACAACGACAACAACAACAGAAAGAAAGCGTGTAGGCAAAAATTAAATCACCACCCGTGGTAATAAATTCTCGTCTTCTCTGGAACAAGACGTCGACGTTCGTTCGTTGGTCGAGCTAATTTAATTGCTGTGCGCCGTCGCACCATCACCGGTGACTTGAGTGATGCTGTCTCTTGTTGTGCTCTCCGGTGAGGTTGTGTGATAACGGGGCACAATCTCATGGCCTACCAGCTGGTACGAAGCTACAAATCAAGATCTTACCGAGGTGATAAGCAGACACTGTACGCACTGCTCGCTGGAGTATGCAATCAAAACTGTTCCCTTCGGTAGTGTGGTCCAATTTGCAATCTGTCATGAAGCGGAGATTCTATTTTGGGACCGATGATAAAAGCCTTTGCCGAAAAAGGGAGGTATTGTTTACTGCATCATTATCGCTTCGTTTTTGCACTAGATATTTACGGAAAGTTCGTTTGTATATCACGACTTGACGAGTCTATTTATCATAGATAGCAGTGATAACGAGGGAGCCGCGTGCGAGGTAAGGGCAGTAAAAGTATTATTAGATAACGATGAAATGACAAATATTAATTTATCTTTGTTATTTGTTGCTTGGATTGTTTGGAATAAAATAGAAAGGAGAGCTGACCTTGCGGCACTTGGTATGCAAAGGTGTAAATATTTTTAAATGAAATTCATTTTTGTGAGCTAAATCAAAACAGATATTTTACTACACTTATGTGTATGTGTCGTAAAATTGCAACAATAAAAAACAAACTCATACGAGGTGTCTGGTTCGATCCCCGGTGCGATCGAGGACTTTTACGCGTTGGATTTTTGTTCGGTATCTCTGACTTGCTTCCAATATACATGCGCAAAAATAGCGTATAGGGTAGATGTACCAATAATGACTGTATTATGTGTTTCAATTATGTCATACGAGAGTTCCATTTACTGGTACTTCTGCCCAACTTATGTACTTAACAATTGTGAAAATGCTCATAGATTACTTGATAGATGAAAAACACACAGTTTCAATAGGGACGTAAAAGCTATAAAGAACAAGAATAATATGAAGAAGAAGCAGGAGCATATCACAGGAAATTGATTACCGTGTTGCTGTAAAATTTAACACATTTCCTGACAGATGTAAACCAACAGCTCATTTAGTTTGAAAAACCACTCCAGCATCTATTTAGTCCGATCAGAACCGTACAGCGAAATCATCGTGGTTAAGTGCAATCATTGTGATTACCGATTTCTTGATATTATTTCTCCGATGAGAAGAAGCATCAAGAAGCAGCAACAATGCATTCTGAAAGCATTCTGCTGCGTACCTACTCGAGGTAGCTGATATAATGACATGAAATTAAGTTTGATTGGAAAGTGTTGATAATAAAATCATTTTTTTATCTCGCAGCAAGCCTCAACCGGGCTGATACGTTACAGCAGAGGACAATGCGACACAGCGTGGCAATGGAACCAAACAAAACTTCTGCCGTGGTGAAACAGGAATCCATGTGAGTATGCATCAGTGTTGATATTTAAGCATAAAAGCTTGCGGATAGGCGAAGCTTCCTGAACTTTCACCATAAGTTGCTTGCAAGTGATATTTATTGGGATGCAAGTGAGTCCTTTATGATTTTTCCCTTCATATTAAGAACTGATATGAACAGGGAGAAATGCTTCACATATTTCAAAAACATATTTAATTTGAAACTTTTTTAAAAACTCATTGTAGTCTTTGATCGAAGAGCTAAAAGTTTTTTTTTTGTTAAATATTCTTGAAATTCACCGAGTTGTGTTCTGATAGCCTGGAATAAGCATTTTCTGAAGGGAGTATTTCGATACATGCGCAGTTTGGAGCATTCCTACCGGAAAACCACACAATAGCGTTCTTGTATATCACCAAATACACTATTTCTGAACCATTATTTCGCTGCATGTTCATCATTCATGATGCGGTTGATCCTTCTCCCGACACCGGCATTTCCTTTTCGACTGTGCCTGCATTCAAAATAACAATGCATTCATTGCACCACCAAAAATCGAATGTCGAAGGTACTCAGCGGACAACTAATCAATCGAATCGAAGTTGAGAGCGAGCACGGCGAGGGATTACAACTCAGCATCCCATGATGGCATATATGGATCATCATCTTTCCTTTTTGGATTTCAAGAGGACGTACCTTCCCATTACAAGTAAAACCCTTGTTGCTATAGATGTTTTCGTTTGTGCTGTTGCTGCTGCTGTAGGTATAGGCAGGCATCAGGCTTTTTGATGTTAATAGCACAAACGGAATATCTAACCATATGTTGGAGGGTTGCTCGCTCCTTGTTGGGATTGCACGGTTGCTAATGTGCGTGTGGCTTATGGCTGTTGCTGCCTGTAATTAGAAGCAGCGTAAATGATTAACAGGATGATGTTTGTTGAATCAACAATGAGTGATGTAATTAAAGGTTAAGGCAGTTTGGCAGCGTTGGGGAGAATGATTTACTGATGGAGAGAAATTTGAACCATCGCATTATGCTTCTAGAAGTTAACCTAGTATCTTATGGAATATTATTCTCGAAAAAGTGATAATTGAAAATTCCGGTAAATTTGTTTTCCTGATTATATTCTAATAGTTAGAAATTGATAAATTCAAGAATGATAAGCAGTAATGGTCGTTCTTAACAGGTTCATAACGTCAAACGGGATTATTTTAAATTATCGTACAAAATGTGCCAAAATTTTACCCACAGGTAGAGTATATGATTATATAAATAAAAACCCGAATTTATCCACCTATGGTGTGATCAGACCCTTCTTACTTATTCAAGTTTATTTATTTTATTGTCATTATCAGTGACCAAGCCCCCCACCCCCGTGTCATCCAGTGACGCTACGCCACTGCCTGGGGGTACCCGGAATATATCCGGGTGTAGTCTATTTGGTGAGGCTACCAATCACCTTATCATCGTATTTTAATGTGATTTAATGGGTTTTAATTCAATTCATATTCAAGCAACTTCCCCGGGGTACCCGAAACATGTCCAAGTGTGTCCAATGTGGTCTGGAACACTTAACACGACTTGCATTGATCTTATTTTTGAATTCTGTAGTAATCTGATGTGTCACATGATGGTTTTGATACGTTTTCCGTTAAATCCAGCGTGAAGGCCCATATTCACCAGATCTTATTCCGGCCATATCTCCGGAACCGGTTCACCGATTCCAAAATCGTTCAATAGCGTTCAATGGGACCCCAAGACCTATCATTTGGCGCCGAGTTTGTCCAAATCGGTTGAGCGGTTGCTGAAAAACGTGAGCGCATTCATTTCGTTACATACACACACACATACACACTTACACACATACACATACATACTAGGCGAACCCAGAAAGGCGAGATCCTCTTTGAGCTGAAGAAGGATCCTGCTATCAAGAGCTCAGCCTACAAGGAGCTCGTTGAAAAGTCTCTTGGCGAAGGGGCGAGCGTAAGAGCTCTATCCCAGGAGACAGTGGTCGAGTGCAGGGACCTGGACGAGATCACCACAGAAGAGGAGCTAAGAAGTGCGTTGAGAGTGCACTGCGAACTGGGAGATGTCCCGATGTCAATCCGCATTAGGAAGGCGTACGGCGGCATGCAAACGGCGGTTATACGGCTTTCGACAGCTGCAGCAAATAAGCTGTTGGAGACGGGCAAGGTCAAGGTTGGCTGGTCATTGTGCTCGCTGAAAGCCACTCCTCGGGTTACCAAGCAATTGGAGCGATGCTTCAAGTGCATGGGATTCGGTCACCAGGCGAGGAACTGCAATGGCCCTGACAGATCTGATCTGTGCAGGAAATGCGGAGAGAAAGGCCATATTGCAAGAGGCTGCACGAAGCATCCGAGGTGTATGCTCTGCAAAAAAGAGGACGGTAACGATCATACGACGGGAGGCTTCAAATGCCTAGCATACAAAAAGGCGATGGCAGGCCAACAGTAATGGAGGTAACCCAAATAAACCTCAATCATTGCGACATTGCTCAGCAACTGTTGTGGCAGTCGACAACAGAAACAAAGTGCGACGTTGCAATCATTGCGGAACCGTATCGAGTCCCTCCCGATAACGGTAACTGGGTTGCAGATAGAGCTGGGATGGCAGCTATACAAGTTATGGGCAGATACCCCATTCAAGAAGTGGTTGCGAGCTCATACGAAGGCTTCGTCATCGCCAAAATCAACGGAATCTTCATGTGTAGTTGTTACGCACCCCCCAGATGGACGATGGAGAAGTTCCACGAGATGCTTGATGGACTTACCGAAGAGCTGGTCGGACGACGACCGGTAGTCATAGGAGGAGACTTCAATGCTTGGGCAGTGGAGTGGGGAAGCAGGTGTTCCAATGCAAGAGGGCACAGTCTGTTGGAAGCTCTGGCAAAACTGGAAGTTATGCTGGCCAATAAAGGCACCAGCAGCACTTTTCGCAGAGATGGCCGAGAATCCATTATCGACGTTACTTTCTGCAGTCCGTCGCTGATGGCAAACATGGATTGGAGAGTGTGCGAAGGATATACCCATAGCGACCATCAGGCGATACGATATGGCATCGGTCAACGGAATACTGTGGCAGTACGGAGGACGAGAACTTGTGACCGAAAGTGGAAGACGAAAGCTTTCGACAAGGATTTGTTCGTTGAGGCACTTCGTGTGGACGGGAGTCCCGTAGATCTAAATGCGGACGAGCTGACAGAAACGTTAGTGAGAGCATGTGACACGACCATGCCGAGGAAACTGGAGCCAAATAACAGACGGCGTCCAGTCTACTGGTGGAACGAGGCACTTAGTACTCTCCGCGCTAGTTGTCTCAGAGCCAGAAGACGTGTTCAGAGAGCAAGAACGGAAGCAGACAGAGAGGAACGAAGAGAAGTGTTTCGAGCGGCCAGGGCTGCTTTTAAACGAGTGATTAAGCAGAGCAAGTCGAACTGTTTTAAGGAGCTGTGTCGAGACGCTGATGCCAACCCCTGGGGCGACGCATACCGAGTCGTGATGGCGAAGATCAGAGGTCCAACGATGCCCGCTGAAATGTGCCCAGAGAAGCTGAAAGTCATCGTGGAAGGACTTTTCCCGAAGCACGACCCAACAACCTGGCCACCTACACCGTACGGAGAAGGAGAGGGAGATAACGTCGAAGTCACCAACGAGGAGCTCGTAGCAGTGGCGAAAGGATGGAAGGTGAAGAAAGCTCCCGGTCCGGATGGAATCCCCAACGTAGCGTTGAAAGCGGCGATCCAGTCATCCCCGGACATGTTCAGGATGGTGCTGCAGAAATGCCTGAACGAGGGTCACTTCCCTGACAGGTGGAAGATACAGAAGCTAGTGTTGCTGCCGAAACCAGGAAAACCGCCGGGGGATCCAGCATCATACAGGCCTATATGCCTGCTGGATACACTCGGAAAACTCTTGGAGAGGATCATCCTAAACAGGCTGACGAAATACACGGAGAGTGAGCACGGATTGTCGGAGAGGCAGTTCGGATTCCGGAAAGGGAGATCGACGGTGGATGCAATTCGGACAGTGGTCGAGAGAGCTGAAAAGGCGTCCAAACAGAAGCGGAGAGGAGATCGATATTGCGCCGTCATAACGATCGACGTCAAGAATGCGTTCAACAGCGCCAGCTGGGAGGCCATCGCCGAAGCACTGCATAGAATGAGGGTCCCTGACTACCTGTGCAGGATCCTGAGGAGTTATTTCCAGAACCGGGTTCTGGTCTACGAGACAGACATGGGACAGAGATCGATTAGGATCACAGCGGGAGTTCCACAAGGCTCCATCCTTGGTCCAACGCTCTGGAACGGCATGTACAACGGCGTGCTAACGCTGAAACTGCCCAAAGGAGTTGAGATCGTTGGCTTTGCGGACGACGTCGTCTTGACGGTAACAGGCGAGACGCTGGAAGAGGTGGAAGTGTTGTCAACCGAGGCAATCGACATGATTGGTAACTGGATGAAAGGAGCGAAGCTGCAAATAGCCCACCACAAAACGGAAGTGTTATTGGTCAGTAACTGTAAAGCGGTACAGCGGGCAGAAATCACCGTCGGGGAGCACACCATAGCCTCGAAGCGTGTGTTAAAATACCTGGGAGTGATGATCGATGACCGGCTAAACTTCAACAGCCACGTCGAATATGCCTGTGAGAAGGCTTCGAAGGCCATCAACGCGATAGCTAGAATCATGCCGAACAACGGTGGTCCCAGCAGTAGCAAGAGGCGTCTTCTGGCCAGCGTGTCATCATCGATACTGAGATATGGAGGTCCAGCCTGGGTTCCAGCGCTGGAAACGAAGCAGAACCAAAGGAAACTGAGCAGTACGTTCCGGCTCATGGCCATGCGAGTCGTGAGTGCGTACAGAACCATCTCGTCGGAAGCAGTATGCGTTATCGCCGGTATGATCCCTATCGGCATCACCCTGGCGGAGGACAGTGAGTGCTACAGGCAGAGAGAAGCCGGAAGAGTACGGAAAGTTGTGAGAGTGGAGTCATTGGCTAAGTGGCA